ACAGCATGGTGTAAAACCGATCCCCTGCAGCCTAACACAAACACATACATAAGTGGTGCGCTTATCGCACTTGAGAAAAGGTCGCATAGCATGTCAGCGTGCAGTGCGTTGATAAGTAGTTTTAAATAGATTTAAGATTTTCTTGTATCTTACTTATAAGAGAATTGTACAGAATAAAATCAGTTTCTAAACGGAATTCATTGGAGTAAGACCTATTTATTTGGGGCTCCTCTTAACACCCTTCTTTCCTTTGCACGCAGTATATAAGTCGGAACGGCTTGGATCGGCTGACTATATCTGTTTGGAAACTATCGCTTAGTAATTAAGTTTTGCCATCTTTATATTTTTGACTTAAGATAAAAACAATGTGTACACACTAGAAATAAGCAGCACCTATGGCAACATTGCCAATTTTCTTCAAGTACCAATAAGACAGCGAAACAAGCAAGAACAATAAAACATACAGTCCACTACAAAAAAAGGCTCTACGCATTTAGGATCATTGTTTGGTCCTACGAACCGGATGTTTTTGTTGTTTTCTGTACATTGGCTCTCACGGTAATTGTTCTTCAATGGAGCAATTAAAAGCATTGGTGAAGGGACGCGCCAGACTAAAGGCCAATATCACACGGAGCTTGGCTTGGGCTGAGGACGCGCACCAATCAGACGCCACACCGGCGGAGGTGTCTTCGCGGCTGGAGCATCTCAACACAACATGGAAGGAGTTCATTCGATTTGGTGACGAAATAGCTGTTCTAGACGAGGTAGACGGCTATGTGGATCCGGAGCCAGACAACGCTTTCTACGAGGGAAAGTATCTACGGGCGCATTCATTACTTTCGGCGATGGCAGTTACAAGACCTAGCCCATCCACTGTGAGTAGCGAGAACGGCAGCCATGGGCTGCAAATCAACAACGACGCAATAATTAGTTTGCTACAACAACAACAACAATTGTTCGAAAAGTTGGCGGCAGATCGAGCCACTGCACAATTGCCAAGACCTACAAGAGGTGACGTCAGTGCGGCGAATGCAGGTACCGCACAATTCGTAGAGGCATCAGCACAAAGCGAATTGCTTTGCGACATCTAAATATTACGGATGCAGCTTACAACACAGCGTGGGAGCGACTGAACGAAAGATATAATCGTCCACGGCACATCGTGAATTCATTTATGGAGCAGTTTATGAAGCTGCCAACAACAACAAAGTCTGATGCAGCAACCTTGCGGAAGGTGTCAGACAGCGCAAACGAAATCGTGCGTGGTTTGGATGCCATTAAGGAAACAGGACGAGACTGTTGGATCATCTACCTGGCGTTTGAAAAACTGGACGCAGCTACTCGACGTAGGTGGATCGAGCGCAGTGTGGAGTCAGACTCACCCACACTAGAGGAATTCTTCAAATTCTTGGATGCGCGTTGTGAGGAGCTGGAGCTAAGCAAACGCGAAACAACTGGAGGTAAAACGACAGCCTCTATTGGTGACAAAACAAAGAAGGTCACACATTCGTTGGTTGCGCTTGATGGAAACAAGTACAGCAAATGCTATTCTACAGAACATCGTCTGTATGGATGTCCACAATTTTTGGGTATGTCTGCAGGACAGAGAATCTCGTTTGCCAAGGAGAAATCGCTATGCTACAATTGCCTGAAGCCAGGTCATGGGATCAGAAGATGCAAGTCAACGTTCAACTGCACAAAATGTAAAGCTCAGCACCATTCACTATTGCATCTGCAAGGTACGCAACACGCAATTGGTACAATCGCTCAAACTGGTGAGGATCAGGATGATCCCAACGCGAACATCTCACCGGGGACTATTAGTCACATAGCACAAACAGAAGGCTCCGCAGCAATTGTATGTGCACAAGGCACTGCAAGTGCAACGCAATCAAATGGATGGAACAGAAGCACCCTGCCTCGGCTATGGTCAACGTTCAAAACGCAAACGGGGATTTGGTAACATGCCGACTCCTTTTGGACACAGGCTCAGAACTGTCATATGTATCTGAACGCTTTATACACGCACTTGGTTTGGCTCGTACGCCATCCCGCATATTGGTCACTGGGATTTCATCGATTAAAGCAGACACAACAAGGGGATGCAGCACCCTACGCATCCAATCCCGTATATCAGAGGATCAACTGGTAGTCCAGGCTCACGTGCTTGGAAAGATCACCTCATCATTGGAAAGGCAGAGCATCGACGCGTCTGCACTACAAGTCTTCAACGATCTACAACTAGCAGATTCACAATTCAGTACAAGTGGTCCAGTCAATATTCTTTTGGGCAGCGAGCATGTTTGGAGTGCTATTACTGGGAGAAAGATATTTGACAACAAAGGCAAGCTAATCGCTATTTCATCAATCTTTGGATGGGTGATTACATCACTGTTTGCACCACGGGCGAGCAACACTATGGCCCTCACAACAACAGTCGACATTGATGCCACTCTCAGACGATTCTGGGAGCTGGAAAGCATTCATCGCAAGGCAGAAGTTCAACCTGAGGACAAAGAGGTCGAGGAGCACTTTCTCAACACCCACGCTCGGGACGATAATGGCAAATACATCGTGGAGCTTCCTTTTACATCATCAGATCCTGAGTTTGCAGATACCCTTCAAGGAGCCTTACAGCGGTTCAAATCGGTTGAACGCCGTTTATCACAAAATCATCAGCTACGTAAGGATTATGTAAACTTCATGAGGAAATATCAAAGTCTAGGACACATGCGAGAAATCTCACCGAGCGAAATTCCCAACGAAAGGAGTTTCTATCTACCTCATCATCCTGTATTGGGTCGGAAACTCAGAGTAGTCTTCGACGGCTCATACCGGGACGCCAAAGGCAAGGCGTTAAATGACACACTCTCGATCGGACCCAGTATTCAGCGAGACCTGTTTGCTGTGTGCCTGCGGTTCCGTATGCACAAATACGTATTTTCAGCGGACATTGTCAAAATGTTCCGTCAAATCTGGGTGAGCGAAAAACATAGAAACTTTCAGAGAATCGTATGGCGAGAGGATCCATCAGATCCCATCAAGCACTTCACACTTTGTACGGTGACGTATGGAACATCATGCGCACCATTCCTAGCAGTTCGAGTACTGGAACAACTGGCTGCTGACCACCAGAAGGAGTTTCCAACTGCGGCCAAAAACTTGATGGAAGACTTCTATGTGGATGACGTTCTCACTGGATCCAATAGTGAGGATGAGCTGCAACGCAATCGGGACGAACTCGTCCAACTGATGTCCTGTGCTAAGCTAGAGCTCGGGAAATGGGTATCGAATACCAAATACATTGTATCGGAGGATAACACGGATTCCTCACACTCATCAGTAAAGGTTCTAGGGCTGCATTGGCACCCTAAGAAGGACACATTGTCGTACAATGTGAATCTAGCAATCTATCCATGAATCTAGTCCATGCTGCACCAAGAGGCAAGTGTTGTCGGATGTGTCACGCACATTCGACCCCCTCGGTCTATTAGCACCAACCGTAGTTCAATTTAAAATACTATTTCAAAAACTATGGCTGTTGAATTTGAATTGGGACGACGAACTTCCGAAAAAGTTAACCGACAAGTGGCTCAAATGGCGAGCAGATTAAGAAAACCTACCACAACTCCAGATACCATGCTTGGTCGAGAGCGACACCGACAAGATTGAATTGCACGGATTTTCAGACGCATCCACTAAAGCATACTCAGCCGTAGTGTACAGCCGGTTAAGGACGATGGAACCATTTCGGTAGCCATACTTGCAGCAAAAACAAGGGTGGCACCTTTAAAGCAACAATCTCTGCCACGCCTGGAACTATGCGGTGCACTTCTTCTAAGCCAACTTTTGCAATCCATCAAGGCTGGATTAAAACACAAGTATTTGACTATCTATGCATGGAGCGACTCCACAATAGTCCTATCATGGCTGGCGTACTCACCAGCCCAACTTAAGACGTTTGTTGGGAACCGCACCGCCGAGATCTTGGAAACCATACCTAAGCATGCTTGACGGCATGTGGACTCAAAATCGAACCCAGCGGATTGTGCATCCCGAGGCTTGGGAGTATCCGAGCTCATTGACTTCGAATTGTGGTGGAAGGGTCCTTCATGGCTGAGGGACCAGGATCTATTTTTGGTAAAGTTGAACTATTCACACAACTATTCTTCACTTTCAGACAAACGCATACAAAGTGAGATCAAAGCTAACTGCCTTGCTGCGCAGGTAATTGTCACAACGGACAATCCTTTGGATAAGCTTCTAAATCGCAACTCATCTTGGCTGAAGCTTATACACACGCTCGGTTATGTTTTGCGATTCATTCATCGCATGAAACACCCGTCTTCAAAACAAACATCAACTTCTCTCACCTGTGACGAGATCAAGTCGGCTAGAATTCGATGGCTGCAACACGCTCAAGCTGGTTTTCAACAGGACTTCCAGCTACTACTCGCAAACAAGCCTCTAGGAAACCAATCAAAATTGGTAAATTTCTCACCGTTCATCGATAAGGACAATCTGCTCAGAGTGGGAGGACGAATCCAACACTCACAGTTGTCGGCAGAGGCAAAACATCCCATTTTGCTTCCAAAGGCTCATCGGATCACCTAAGAACATAAGCACCGAGTCAACCTGCATCCTGGAGTCTCATCTCTCTTCGTCATAGTCCGGCAACGATTTTGGATTTTCGGTGCACGGAACCTGATACGCAAAATAACACACAACTGTTTGGCGTGCTTTCGACAGAGACAACATACAATGCCAGCGTACGTATAACGCAAGCACTGCCATTCGTAAACACTGGATGCGACTATGCAGGACCAATTCTTTTGAAGGACGCTAAGGTGCGCAAGCCGCGCATCAGCAAGGGATACATATGCCTATTTGTATGTATGGTTACATTGGCGATCCATCTAGAACTCGCCACCGACTTATCCACGGAAACATTTCTGGCGGCATTGAGACGATTTTTCTCAATACGAGGCAAATGTACACGCATGTACAGCGACAACGGAACAAATTTCATCGGAGCCAGGCGATCCCTGGATGAAATGCAGCAGCTACTGAACTCAACACAGCACAAGGATCACGTAGCGAACTCACTAGCAGACGAAGGTATCCAATGGACCTTCATCCCACCTCGTGCTCCACATTGGGGAGGAAAGTGGGAATCAGCAGTTCGATGTGTTAAACTGCATCTTCGACGAGTCATTGGCAGCAGCACACTAACACATGAGCAAATGCGCACCTTGCTGGCTCAGATCAGTGCGGTGGTCAACTCACGACCCTTATGCTACACGTCGGATACAGATAGCAACTATCTGTCACCAGCCCATTTCCTGATCGGGCGACCATTTACGACGATCCCGGAGGTGGATCTTGGCCACATTCCTGTGGGCCGTTTGCGATACTGGCAGAGTATCCAATCGATGTACCAAGGCTTCTGGAAACAATGGCACCAGGAGTACCTGACGAGTCTTCAGCAGCGACCAAAGTGGACCAAGGAAACCCCCAACATCAACATCGGCAGCGTTGTGCTCGTCAAGGAGTCCAACACACCACCAGCATCATGGCACCTGGCGAGGGTGATCGAAACCTACCCAGGAAAGGACGACGTCGTGCGAGCAGTAAGGCTCAAGATGGCAACAGGAGAATTGACCCGGCCAATAACGAAAATTGCAGAACTACCTCATTCAGAAACCGTGTTTCAGGGTGGGCCGGGATGTTTGGAAACTATCGCTTAGTAATTAAGTTTTGCCATCTTTATATTTTTGAATTAAGATAAAAACAATGTGTACACACTAGAAATAAGCAGCACCTATGGCAACATTGCCAATTTTCTTCAAGTACCAATAACACAGCGAAACAAGCAAGAACAATAAAACATACTTTTTTGTCCACTACAAAAAAAGGCTCTACGCATTTAGGATCAATATCCTATAGCTGCCTTATAACTGATTGATCGGAAAAGGTATAACTTTGGTGTTTTTAGAGAGTTTAGTTAGAGAGTTAAAATTTTAGGTGAGAGCTATTTTTGGCAAAATAATACATGTCGAATTTCATAAGGATCGGCCGACTATATCCTATAGCTGCCATATAACTGAACGATCGGAAATGGTTTTTGGTAGAAATACCAACATTGGTATTGTTAAAGATAGAAGTTTGGGACTTGTTTTAAATTTTGTAATATAATAAATTGGGTTATATTATCATATTCTCATAAGGATCGGCCAACTATATCCGATATATATCCGGTTTTAACTGCAAGGGTATATAAACTTCGGCTCCGACCGAAGTTAGCTCCTTTCTTATTTTTATATATTTTATTGTAATTAATTGGTTTTATGATGATATTCTCATAAGGACCGGCAAGCTTTATCCGATGTTTGCGATATATATCCGCTTTTAACTGCAAGGGTATATCAACTTCGGCTTCGCCCGAAATTAGCTTTCCTTTCTTGTTAACGATATAAAAATGGTAAAAATGTGTCAACCACCGTGGTAGGACTACTAACGGAGGTTCTGCTAACTCAGATCGAGCCCCAACTTATGATGAAAACGAATGAATTGGTCGAATGAATCTAGGCAGCTCTATCTTTTATGTCGGTAAGTAAACATGGAATAACTTTGAGAAAAAAGTGATGTATTTTTATTCAGTTTGTTCCCTTAAAATTTTTTGGGCTAGTTTTTGAAAACAATATCAATCAAGTGGCCACCTTTATTAGCATTTACAAAATTCCTCCTGGATCATCGTCTTGACCGTCCGGTTCGCTCTTTCCGTGGGATTTTTAGCCAATAGTATGGCAAGGCAATCCCCCATCCCTTCCTCGGAGCAGGCCACTTTCAAGAGACCAACAAGAATTTGTTACAATAAAGACGATGTGCAAGTAAGTGATGAAATAGATGTTATCGCTGTTTTAGGTTTAATCATTTTGCTCAAAATTGCAAACAAGCTGATCAAAAATGTAGTAGCTGTTAGAGATCTGCAGGAATACATTCTTATTGCCTCAGCCATAGAATACATCCGAATGGAATAGAATGAATGAGTGCAAGAGACACAACGAATTGAATGAGAGGGAGTGAGAGAGTGAGAGAGCATTGTAACTCATGGGCATTCTCTTGCTTTGAAACAGAGTGAGTTGGGGTGGGAAGTAAAAAGAGTGCTTTTGGAATGAGGAATGCAGCCGAATGTCTCGAATGGTTTTTAACACACTCTATGCATTCATTTATTTTCTTCTGTTGCTCAAAACGCTTCTTAAATACTTCTTTAATAATAAGGGAATTGACCGAAAGGTTAATTATGATAGAGTGTTTTTTTACTTTGGTTTTTAACTGTTATTATTAGTTTCTTAGTGTTTATTGTTTAGTTTTTCCAAATTAAATTATTTTGCAAATTTTTTTAGCGGCAAAATTGTGCTGGAAAATTATTTATTCATAAATATTGAAAATATTTTTACATTTATATAAATAAATATATAAATATATATATATATAAACATAAATATATATAATAATATATATATATATATATATATATATATATAATAATATATAAATATATATATAAAATATGTAAAATAAAATATACAGCATAATAATGAATATTTCTGGAAAAAAAATCAATGACTTAATTCACTTTTGAATTATTTTATTATCAGCGTCTAAAAATACAGGCAAATATGCATAGTTGTATCGTACATTCTAGAATGCATTCGAAACAATTCGAATGCGAACTGTAACTCTAACTCATTCAATTCGGTTTTCATCCCCCGAATGTTGTGCGAGTGAGACCTACACAGTCGCACTCACTCATTCATTAATTTTCGTCTCAGCATTCTATCTCACTCAATTCATGCATTTGAATCTCACTTCGAGGCTGTGCATTTGAATGTCGTTTTTTAGCTATTCATGCAGACCTCTAGTAGCTGTTCATTATCTCATACCAAAGAGCAGCAATGTAGCCCATTGGTTTGCGCTAACTGCAAACAATCTCACGAAGCCACCTCTCTTGATTGTCCTGCTCGTAAAAGAGCCTATGCAATTAAAAAAAGCATGACACTTGAAAACTTATCAAAATCAGAAGCGAAAATTAGATATCCCTCTCTGTTTTAAATTTTAGATGAAGTTGATACTAACGACATAACTCTTTTCCCACAGCCATCATGGCAAAGGAAATCTACTACACCAATTTTACAAAATAACACCAAATTAGCCACGCAACATTTATTTGAAAATAACCCTTTTAACAAAGTTGTTAAGATCTCTCTTAACAAAAAAAATGAGGAAAACAATGCCAACGACACAATGATCAGCTGGAAAGCTGCTCTTAAAAAACATGAGTACTCTCTCAAAGAAAAATTCATTAATACCTAATCTAAAGATCCTTTTTCTGCTCAACAAGTTGAAATTTATAATTGCAACAAACCAGCTCTTTTTTAGTCAACGAAAATTCGGTATTATTTCCTGAATCAAGAAACTTTTTAGTTAATTTAAAAGATCGTATTTTTATTACAAATTCAAAAATTGATTTAATTAAAATTAACCAATCGTTACAATAGTTCTTTAATGTTGCTTGTCTATATACTCTTCTTAAAAAAAAAAAAAAAATAATAATATTAAATAAAAATGACTCTTAAAATCCTCCAATACAATATTCAGAGCTTAACTGCTAATAACAATAAACATTTGTTAGAACTATTTTTAGTTAATAATAATATAGACATAGCAATTGTATCAGAAATCTGGATTCCAAACAATTCTATGAGTAGCCTAGCTAATTATAATTTTGTGTGTAAACCTCGTGCCGCCGGGTATGGAGGCGTTGGTATTTATTTAAAAAAACATATACGTTTTAGGAAAATTAAATGTAACATTAATATTGAAGCAGTTGGTGTCTGTACGACGAATCTAAAAAACAATATAAACATTTTTAGCATCTATGCCGCACCCAATCCTAACACTAATTCTTTTGAACAAGGTTGTAACGATTTATTTTCTATTGCGTCTGAACTGAACGGTACTACTATTATAGGTGGCGATTTTAATGCCAAATCTAGTATTTGGGGTAACAACACGCTTGATGCCAGAGGAGTCATCTTGGAAAACGCTCTTTTAAATTCAGGATTTTTCTGCATTAACAATGGCGATCCAACCTACTCACCTAATCCGTCCTATTTCTCTACCCTTTATGTCACTTTCACAAATAATAATCATCTTAGATTTAAATGGGCTTCAGTTAATTCTAAAATTTCGAATAGCAATCACTTTCCGGTTTTAATTGAAGTTGATAATGTTTCGGCTTCTTTCAACTCTTATAAATATAATCACCCAAAAATTATTAAAGATTTCTCAAATGTTCATATTACTTCTCTAGACACCCTTTTTACTTCTTCTCAAAACATTCACGCCAATAATACGATAAAATTAAATGGGAATAATAGATACGTTCCTAAAAAATATTGGGATGAGGTTTGTGAAAAACTGTTTAGGCTAAGAAACGCGTGCAGACAAAAATATTTTAAATCCAAGCTTTTTACAGATGCTATTGCCTATATTAACAGTAATAGAAAACTTAATAATTACTTTTTTAAAATGAGAAAGAATAACCTAAACAGGCTTTTAGATGATTTATCTGACCCTACCTCAATGAAAGATATGTGGGGAAAAATTCATTCCCTTAAACTTTATAAACAAATAAAACCTTCCAAAAGTTCATTTTCTGACTCGGACCACCAAGCTTTTCTTAGTCAAATAGCCACAGCTCCTAACACTGATACTTGTTCTGATGTTATTTTCCCTGACGGCTTACTTTACACAAATTCTATCTCAAACTTCACATATCATGAACTTCTTGTCTTTCTCAAATCCCGTAACCCTGATTCTGCTAAGGGACTCGATAAGATATCATATAGAATGCTCCTAGCCTTACCTACTGTGCAATTAGAAAACCCTGTTTCCTTGCTTGATTCTACTTTAGACCAAGGTAATATTCCAGATAATTGGCGTAGAATAAAAGTTATTCCTGTGCCAAAGAAAAACCTTGACTCTTCTATAATTACAAACAATAGATCTATTTGCCTTCTAAGTGTAATTTTCAAATGTTTAGAGGGCTTTATTAAATGGAGTATGGAGAATCACATTAATAGACACGATATTCTCCCTCCAAGGTCCTATGCTTTTAGGAAAAACCATTCAACATTCAATGTATCAATGATGTGATCAACACTATAGCTAATTTAAAAGCTCGTGGCTTCCATGTTACAGCAGCAGTTCTTGATTTAAACAAAGCGTTTGACGCGGTCAAAATTCCTATCCTAGGTAAAAAATTAGTTAATTTAGGTTTTAACCACTCCCATATTAAATTCATTATCAATTTTCTTAATAAAAGAATTTTAACTTTGGGCAAGGCAGAGGTTACAGTCGACAAAGGGGTTAGTCAGGGAAGCTGTCTTAGCCCAATTCTATTTAATCTTTACACTCTTGAGCTTCATAATCTAAGCAACAATCATGACAGTACTCTTTTCCAGTACGCGGACGATTTTTTTTTAGTCTGCTATGACAAGGTTTTTTCGTTGGCTGAATCTAAACTAGAGCAGAAAGTGAATCTTTTTAGGGAAATGTGCAATTTAATCAATCTTTCATTTAATGCAAATAAATTAGCCACTATTCACTTTAACCTTAGGAGAAGACCTCTGAACGTACAGTGTAATAACATCACCTTAAATAATGTAAATAGTGTCAACTA